TCTGGTCTTACGACCACTAAATTATGCTCTACACATATGTGTACATGCATATACATGCATGTTTAGTATAGGTACATGCCATTCTTTTGGTCTGGGATGAAGCAGGACTTCTAAACCCCCCCCCCAATATGTATAGCTTTACACAAGTGTCTGAGTTATTTTGCTTCATACTTATTCAGTCTTTCGCTTCTACTGCACTTCATGATTGTTCAAAACATCTGATCTTACTATATCTTAACATCTCAAAATCTGGGAACTGAGCATAACCATATTTGCTATTTTTGGCCCAATCAGCTAATTCAACCTTCATGCCTTCAAAGAGCTGTTGCTGCAATTATTGCAAATGACATAAAGTACCCCTGTTTGGGCTGCTGTAATCACACAATTCCTAGTAGTGAAATGCTTGCAGCCCTGTAAAAGATAAAATGAGCCTATTGGCTCATACCAAGTGAGTTCACTAAAGTGCTGCTCAAGGGCATCCAGCAGAACTAGTGCCAAACCAAACACATTTTTCGGTTTCACATGAAAGTCTTGCAAACACTTCAATACACTTTCTGTTTCTGATTCAGTAGAATAATCAGACGCTAAGAGACTTGTTTTTTGAATTTATTCCAGTGTGATGACTGTTATGCAGTGAGTAGTTGGCTATGTTATGTATCTGGCAGTGGAGCCAGAGGCTGGGAATTTGATCCCATATAATACCTACCAGGAGAAGAGTCAGTCTGTGTAGCCTTGGGCAAGCTGCACAGTCCCTTCTGAGCATCCTAAGAAGAAGGGTGTGGTAAACTCCTTCCAAATACTCGGTACCTAGAAAACTCTGGAAGTGATCTCCATAAGTCAGAATTGTCTTGATGGCAGATAATTATTATTACACAGTGAGTAACACTATTACCCTCCCGCCAAGAATACTGCTAGGCTTTGGAGGCCAGACCCTAGAACACAAGATAGCATATAAAAGCTGCATAAACTAATAGAGTTACATGTAGGAATTGGGTCTGGGCCCTTCCACTGAAGACGTGCTGATTGGCTATGTGTCTATCAGCAGTAGCACAGAGCTGACACTATCAGACATTCAGAACTCTGTGACCAGGCTTGAGACACTTTGCCATCTGAAGCGGAGAAATGAATTTCTCACCTTCCCCAACAAGTCAGAAGGAATGCTTAGTGCCTGATACCAGTGAAATCATTTTGCCACATGAGGCAGAAAATGCATCCCAATTGGAGCTGAGGCTCCAATACATTATTTCCCTGACAGCAATAATAAAACAATAACAAATTGCATTCGCTGCCTTCTTCCTGACACCTAAATTCTGTTGCACGAAGCTGATGCCTCACTTTGTCTAATTCAGGCCAGCCTTGAATTTCTTGTATGTGAATTCAGAAGTCAATCCCGCAATGTTCAACAGGACTTCTTTCCATGTAAGTCGAAACAGGATTTTATTCTTAAGTACCTGTAATGTGATGACTGCTTCATTCTTTTATATTGATATTAAGCACACAAGCATTTGATGGTTACAAACAGGCCTGGACTTCTAATCTGGAATTTTAAAATGGTGAAAAAAATGATTTAAATTCTATTTTTTTTCATTCATATTTAAAGTCGACTGATCTCTGCTAAAATCTGGAAACCTATTTTTCTTCTTAATGAACAACTTTTACAATTCCAGTTACCAGTGTAGGCCTGGCAGTTCCACAGCCTGCCAGTTTTTTTGCAAATTAAAAAGTGGCAGAACAGTAAAAATTCTGCGGCTTTCTCTTCCATCATGGAAACAATTTTCCTGAGGCAAAATTGCCCCAGTCCTTGTGGTGCTGAATGGAATAGGATTACTCTTACAGTCTGGATCTGGAAATTTAGCATGTGCTAACCCAGGGTTCCTATGCAGAGCACCTGTGAATGTGTCCTCCGGAAGCATTGCACTACAACTCCCAGTCAGCAGGAGGAAACTGGTGACAGACTTTTCATGCCCCTGTTTAGGAACATTGCTTGTGATTCATCCAAGCTGTTCACATTGCAGCAAAAAAAAAATTATCTGAGATTACAGACTCAACATTTTGAGTGTGCCGTAGCTTCCTTTTAGTTTAAATTTGCATCCTTGTTGACAAGTTATTAATTAGTGGCCCACAAGTTGCAGTTTTACAGATTACAATCACCATGTGGGAATTCCATTCTTTCTGATCAACAGTTAATTTAGCTCTCCTTTTTATTAGAAATTAATGTTTCATCAAACCAGAAGGGGGGAAATATAATGTACAAATATTGTGCATTCCTGCTTCTAGCATCTTCTGTGGCTGTTGGCGGGCAGGTCCTCCTGGCGGCTCGCAGAGGCGAGAGGGCTCCCAGAGAAGGCGTGGAGG